TGCAACCTCCACCTGCCAGGTTCAAGTGATTCTCCTGCCTCAGCCTCCTGAGTAGCTGGGATTACAGGTGTGCGCCACCACGCCTGGTAATTTTTATATTTTTACTAGAGATGAGGTTACAGACATGAGCCACCGTGCCCAGTTGAAAAACACTTTTTATCAGGAAACTTGGAAGTCCAAACTGTAAACTGTTAACCTCTTGGCAGTGGTAAGCCATTGAGAGTTTGGGCAAGAGTAGAACCTAAAGAAGGAGGATGGGCACTTATGTTGATGGGCACATTATGTATTTTAGGTCAACATATATTCCCAATTAGAATTTATTTTGAGGCCTACTTAATTCGAAGTAGAAAATGGAAGACCAAGTGAGGTTATTGCAGTGGCTTAGGAATAAAGTAATGTACTTGAATGGGAAGGAGCAGAAAGCATGTGTGTGCAGAAAATAGGTGAAGAGGTATAAAGTTGAGAGGAAGTCAGAGGTTTCTCCAAGGCTTAGAACCTAAGGAACAGAGGAGTTTGTAGTAGGAGCAAGTTATGAGGTAGATTTAAATGGAGTCATTTTGAAGTTCACTAAAACATCCATATGAAAATGTCCAGAGGTTGGAAACATGAGTTCAGCTTTCTTCTTTTTTTTTTTTTGAGACGGAGTTTCGCTCTTGTTACCTAGGCTGCTGGAGTGCAATGGCGCGATCTCGGCTCACCGCAACCTCCACCTCCTGGGCTCAGGCAATTCTCCTGCCTCAGCCTCCTGAGTACCTGGGATTACAGGCACGTGCCACCATGCCCAGCTGATTTTTTGTATTTTTAGTAGAGACGGGGTTTCACCATGTTGACCAGCATGGTTTCGATCTCTTGACCTTGTGATCCACCCGCCTCGGCCTCCCAAAGTGCTGGGATTACAGGCTTGAGCCACCGTGCCTGGCCTTTTTTGTTTTTTTGGTTTTTGTTGTTGTTGTTGTTGTTTTGTTTTTTTAAGACAGAGTCTCACTCCGTCACCAGGATGGAGTGCAGTGGCGCGATCTCAGCTCACTGCAGCCTTCACATTCTGGGTTCTAGCATTTCCCTGCCTCAGCCTCCCAAGTAGCTGGGACTACAGACACACGCCACCACCCCCAGCTAATTTTTTGTATTTTAGTAGAGATGGGATTTCACCATGTTGGCCAGGATGGTCTCAATCCCCTGACCTCGTGATCTGCCTGCTTTGGCCTCCCAGAGTTTTGGGATTACAGGTGTGAGCTACTGTGCCCGGCGAGTTCAGCTTTCTAAGAGAGGTGATAGAATTAGGAATTTGAAATCATTTATGTAAAATTGATGGTTTATGTTACGGATGAGTTTCCTAACCTAAGAGAATGAGAAAGGAGCACAAGGACATTGGTGGACCCCTCAAAAACTTTGAGAAAGAAAAGGCTGAGGAGTAGTCAGAGTTGGTATGAGAACTCTGAATTCTAAGAAGAAATGTTTTTGAGGTCCTGTTGTGTGCCAGACAACATACTGGTTACTAAGGATACAAAGGAAAAGAAGACATAAATCTTGCTCTTAAGAAGCTTTTGGTCACTTAGAGACAAAATATAAATTAAAAAAAAAAAAAATTGCTTGTTCTTCTTAAGGAAGTAAAAATGTCACTACTGGCCCTCAGGGTAGTGTTTAACAGAAGCCAGGTTTGGGTTGGAGAAATGGGTGACAAGAAAGTAAGGGTTTCAGGATTTGTTTTTTAAATTTTGTCTTTGGAAAGAAGATATCTAGACTGTAACTATAAGCAGTTTTCATAGATTGTGAAGTTTTCAGTAAAGTCTGTAGAAGGAAAGAAACCAGTGAAAAGGATGTAATTGTAGCTGTTGAAATAATGGAGCAGTGAAGGGATGAGGGAGGCCTGTAAGAAAGGGTACAGTCGGGTACTGTCTCACATACAGCGGTGGCTCACACATTGTAATCCCAGCACTTTGGGAGGCCTAGGCAGGTGGATCACTTGAGGTCAGGAGTTCAAGACCAGCCCGGCCAACATGGAGAAACACCATCTCTACTAAAAATACAAAACGGCTGGGCGTCATCTCGTAATCCCACCTACTCAGGAAGCTAAGGCAGGAGAATCGCTCAAACCTGGGAGGTGGACGTTGCAATGACCCAAGATCGCGCCACTGCACTCCAGCCTGGGCGACAGAGTGAGACTCTGTCTCAATAAAATACTAATAATGACAATAATAAAGAAAGGGCACTTTGTTCTCTAGTGGAAAAATAAAAGTAAGTTATAAAAAAAAAAAAAAAAAGAAAAGGTACAAGTGGGATTAGGATACTTTGAAATGAGAAAGTTCCCTCTTTTTCAGAAAGTAGAATCACAATGAGAATAGTATTGATTTTTCTTAGCTATCAGATCACCTCTTCAAACTGAAGAAAGAACAGTTAAGATCTGAGGAAGGTAGTAGAGGTTCAAAGTTGCATGTGGCTGTTATGTGAAGAAATTAACTAGATAGGAATTTGATCAGTGGGTCATGTTGAATGTACAGCTGATGACAGCACAACATGGTTTTTCTTTATTTTAGAGTGATAGTCTCCATATTATGCAGAGGTTAAAGATTTGGGACTGATTACCAGAACATAGACACAGGCCCTGGGAACTGTTAATTGTCTAATAGGTTTGGCTTCTGATACCTGTGATCAAGTTTTTTATTATTTCATGCTTACTCATATTGTTCAGCCTTTGATTACACTCAGTGCAATGTTAAGACCCTGCAGTGCTTCCCACTAAGACATCTCTCTTTTAGTTTCCTGTGGGCCGCATCCACAGACACTTGAAGACTCGCACCACAAGCCATGGAAGGGTGGGAGCCACTGCTGCCGTGTACAGTGCTGCGATTCTGGAGTACCTCACTGCTGAGGTTTGTATAGTAATGTCTTGTATATGGCAGTCCAGAAGGTTCACTAGCCTAAGTGACAGAAACCCATGGAATATATTTGAAAAAAGACATATATGCTCATTGGGGTTTGTTTTGTTTGTTTATTTTGAGATGGAGCTTCACTCTTGTTGCCCAGGCTAGAGTGCAGGCCAGTCGCAGCTCACTGCAACCTCTGCCTCCCGGGTTCAAGCAATTCTCCCACCTCAGTGATTCTCCTGCCTTAGCCTCCTGAGGCTAAGTAGCTGGAAATACAGGTGTACACCACCATGCCCAGCTAATTTTTGTATTTATAATCGAGGTGGCGTTTCGCCATGTTGGCCAGACTGGTCTCAAACTCTTGACCTCAGGTGATCCACCTGCCTTGGCCTTCCAGTGCTGAGAAGATTATAGGCTTGAGCCACCATGCCCAGCCTCATTGTTTTTTTTTTAATAGCAGTCTGAGATGAATCTTGTCAGCTATTACCCAATGCCAATGTAAAAGAACTTTGGCGTACTTGTTTTTAAAGCTAAGCAAGGGGCTGAGTGTGGTGATTCACACCTGTAATGCCAGCACTTTGGGAGGCTGAGGTGGGTAGATTGCACACTTGAGCTGTGGAGTTCCAGACCAGGCTGAGTGACAGAGCGAGACCCTGTCTCAGAATAAAAATTTTTTAAACGTTAAGCAAGGGCCAGCAATCTCTATATTTTATTTTTATTTATTTATTTTGACACTTGATCTCACTCTGTCACCCAGGCTGGAGTACAGTGGCATGATCATAGCTCACTGTAACCTCAAACCTCCTGGGTTCAAGGGATCTTCCCGCCTTAACCTCCCTAGTACCTGCGACTACCCACCACACCTGGCTAAAATTTTATTTTTTTTATTTTTTTTTGAGACAGTGTCTGCTCTGTCATGCAGGCTGGAGTGCAGTGGCGCAGTCTTAGCTCACTGCAGCCTCCACCCCTTGGGTTCAAGTGATTCTTCTGCCTCAGCCTCCTGAGTAGCTGGGATTACAGTCTACTGCCCGGCTAATTTTTGTATTTTTAGTGGAGACAGGGTTTCACTATGTTGGCCAGGTTGGTCTGGAACTCTTGACCTCAGGTGATCCACCCACCTCAGCCTCCCAAGGTGCTGGGATTATAGGCGTGAGCAATCGTGCCCAGTGCTTATTTTTTTGTTTTTATTTTTTTGTGTGTGGAGACAGGGGCTCCCTATGTTGCCCAGGCTGGTCTCTAACTTCTGGCCTCAAGTGGTCCTCCCAAGGTGCTGGGATTACAGGCATAAGCTGCCATACCCCAGTGAACTCTGAAGTATGTATATAATCGGTAGACAGTATTTATGAAGTTATAGCATAGTGTTTTAATTTATGAAGATTTGGGGTGAGGTAAAGTTTTCCCAGTGTGATAATATATAAAAATCACAAATAAGACATTAGAAGTGAAAGACTTCATCTGTCCTCTTGGTTCTCTGCAGGGTTATACATACAAAATTGCCCTATCTTACTCAGTTTGAAATTTCAGGAAGATAAGTTAATTGGGCAAGAGTTCTTAATTTTTAAGTCATAGACCACCACTTTTCCCATCCTTACTCCTCCTAAAAAAAAAAAAAAAAAAACAACAACACTGGGAATTCATGGGACTTCAACTACATTCCAGGCTGGGGAAGTAATCTGAGTTAACAGGTAGGTCAAGTGGTAGACACATTCTTGATTCTGGTAGAAATAGAGGGGTCTTAACTTGGGGAGGATGTGATTGGGAGCTAGGCTGGGGAATTTAGCTTTAATCTGTATGTCAGTTATCATTGCTGTCATTTATTTCATGAATCTGACCAAGTCATCTGTGTCCCATTGGGGATTTAACATTGAATTATGATAGTTTCAACTTGGCTGTGTCATGATCAAGGGGTGTTTTGGTTTTTTGGTTTTTTTTTTTTTTTGGTTTTGAGACAAGGTCTCTGTCTCCCAGGCAGTGGCATGATCTCAGCCCATTGCAGTCTCCACCTTCTGGGTTCCAGGATTCTCCCACCTTAGCCTCCAGAGTAGCTGGGGCTACCTGTGTGCACCACCACATCTGGCTAATTTTTGTTATTTTCTTTTTTTTTTTTCCAAGACAGAGCCTTGCTCTGTCTCCCAGGCTGGGGTACAGTGGCGCAATCTCAGCTCACTACAACCTCTGCCTCCTGGTTTCAAGCAGTTCTCCTGTCTCAGCCTCTCGAATAGCTGGGATTACAGGGGTGCACCACCATGCCTGGCTAATTTTTGTATTTTTCGTAGAGACGGGGTTTCACCATGTTGGCCAGGCTGGTCTCGAACTCCTGACCTTATCCTGATCTGCCCACCTCTGCCTCCCAAAGTGCTGGGATTACAGGTATGAGCTACCGCGCCCAGCAATTTTTGTTGTTTTCTTGTAGAGGTGGGTTTTGCGATGTTGGCCAGGCTGGTCTCAAACTCCTGACCTGAAGTGATCTGCCACCTCAGCCTCCCAAAGTGCTGGGATTACAGGCATGAGCCACTGTGCCTGGCCTCTTTTTATTTTTGAAAAATTTAAAATAAAATTTTAAATACATTTAAAAACTTTTGTAAAAGCATTAAGAAATAAATTTCAGTTATTAAGGGTTGTACAGAAATAGACTACATGGATATATTAAAATATATGACGTTGGCTGGGTGTGGTGGCTAACATTTAGCATTCGAGTTCACAATGTTCAAGCCCCATCTAAGCTCCTCTCCCCTTTTTTTTAAATCTTTGGGTACTTTGGTTAAAATTTTTAAAGTTGGCCAGGCACGGTGGCTCAAGCCTATAATCCCAGCACTTTGGGAGGCCGAGGCAGGTGGATCACGAGGTCAGGAGTTCAAGACCAACCTAGACAAGATGGTGAAACCCCGTCTCAATTTAAAAAAAAAAAAAATTTAAAGTTAATGCAGTCACTTATGCCAGTAATCCCCAGCACTGTGGGAGATTAAGGCAGGCACTTTGTTTGAGTTCAGGAGTTCCATACCAGCCTGGACAGACAACATGGCAAAACCCCATCTCTACAAAAAATTAACCAGATGTGATAGTGTGCACCTGTAGTCCCAGCTACTCGGGAGGCTGAGGTGTGAGGATCACCTGAGCCCAGGAGCTTGAGGCTGCAGTGAGCCATGATTGTACCACTGTATTCCAGCCTGCATGACAGTGAGACCATGTATAAAAAAAATTTTTTTAATTCGGTTAAGATTAGACAGTGAATATGTGTGTGTGTGCAGTCAACTTTTTTTTTGTTTTTGTTTGTTTTGAATTGGAGTCTTGCTCTGTCACCCAGGCTGGAGTGCAGTGGTGCAATCTCAGCCGAGTAGCTGGGATTACAGGTATGTGCCACCACACTCGGCTGATTTTTGTATTTTTAGTAGAGAGAAGGTTTCATCATATTGTCCAGGCTGGTCTCAAACTCTTGACCTCAGGTGATCCACCCTCCTCAGCCTCCCAAAGTGCTGGGATTGCAGGCATGAGCCACCGTGCCCAACCAACGTATTTTTTCAGATACTTAAATTTGGACTTTTAACCTTTAGTAGAGGTAAAATACTGAAATCTAAGCCAGGACCCTTTAGGTCATGGGTAATCACTTTTCAACCTTTGCTTTGCACTAAAATCCCTTGGGGAGAGCTCTTTAAAAAACGCTGCTGCAGAGCCTTATCCCAGATAGTCAGAGACCTAGGAGAGAAGGGGGTAGGGTACTGGTGGTTTTAAAGTTCAGCAGTTGATTCTGATGTATACCCAGGTTTATCACTGCTCTTTTTAAAATGAGGAGGCTACTTGGGAGGCTGAGACAGGAGGATTGCTTAAGCCCAGGAGGTCAGAGGCTGCAGCAGTGAGATATGATCTTACCACTGCACTCCAGCCTGGGTGGCAGAGCAAGACCCTGTCTCAATCAATCCAAAATACAAAAATAAAACAAAACAGAAAAACTCTGGAGTTATTTTTGTATTACTTTCATCAAAGTTTTAATAGCTAGCCAGGACTTTGAAATTTCTGTAGTTGAAAATCCCCACTATAGATTAAAAGGCTGCTTCTAACTTGTAAATAGTAAAAATTGTAGCTGTTTTTTTGTTTTGTTTTTGTTTTGAGACAGTCTTGCTCTGTTGCCCAGGCTGGAGTACAGTAGCACAAACACAGCTCACTGCAACCTCCAGCTCCTGGGTTCAAGTAATCCTCCCACCTCAGTCCCTCAAATAGCTAGAGACTATAGGCATGTACCCCCATGCTTTTTTTTTTTTTTTTTTTTTTCCAGAGACTTGGTTTTCCTATGTTACCCAGGCTGGTGTCAAACTCCTGGACTCAAGCAGTCCTCCTGTTTCGGCCCCTCAAAGTGCTGGGATTACAGGTGTGAGCCACTGGGCTCAGCAGACGTTATTTTAAATTACATTTTAGGCTGGGCTCAGTGGCTGGTGCCTGTAATCCCAGCACTTTGGGAGCCCAAAGTGGGCAGATCACTTGAGCTGAAGAGTTCAAGACCAGCCTGGCCAATATCGTGAGACCCCGTCTCTACTAAAAATACAAAATAATTAATCTGGCTGTTAGCATGCACCTGTAGTTCCAGCTACTTAGGAGGCTGAAGCAGGAGAATCGCTTGAACCCAGGAGGTGGAAGTTACAGTGAGCTAAGATCGAAGCACTGTACTCCAGCCTGGGCCACACAGCGAGACTCTGACTAAAAAACAAAAACAAAAGCAAGAAATTATTTCAAATTACATTTTAGGCCGAGTGTGATGGTCCACACCTGTAACCCCAGCACTTTAAGAGGCTGAACTAGGAGTATCACTTGAGGCCAGGGGTTTGACACCAACCTTGGCAATGTAGTGAGATCCTCTCTATTTTTAAAAAATTTAGAAAATATATTTTATGACTAGTATTAAGAAATACATTTTGGCTATTAAGGGTTATACAAAAATAGACTACAAGTATATATTAAAATATGTGACTTTGGCTGGGTGTGGTGGCTTACACTTGTAAACCTAGCACTTCGGGAGGCACAGGTGGGCAGATCGTTTCAGCCCAGGAGTCTGAGACCAGCCTGGGCAATGTGGGGAAACCTCGTCTCTTAAAAAAAATTTTTTTAAATTAACCAGGTACACTTGTGGTCCCAGTAATTCAAGAGGCTGAGGCAGGAGAATAACCCTGAACCTGGGAGATCGAGGCTGCAGCAAGCCAAGATCACACCACCACACTCCAGCCTAGGCAATGGAGTGAGACCTTGTCTCAAAAAAAAAAAAAAAGACTTTTCTAAATGTTTACATCTAGCATCTTGGCTAAGAGATAATATCTCTTGTCCTTATCTTTATTTCTATATATATATTTCTTGTCTACTTCTACATAGAAGTAGGTTTTTGCTCAAATTTCTGTCTCTGTTACAGAGAATGAATAAAAAGAGGTTAAATGAATTAAAGAGTTTTATAAAGCATTGTAGAAACACAAGAAAGAAAAATGTATTAACAGTTTATGTATTGTGTGTGTGTTTTCTATGTACAAATGCTAAGTGATCCTTCATTTAGGATTCTTGGTCCTTCATTTGATGTGCTAATCATGGATGCTTTGTAGGTACTGGAGCTGGCAGGTAATGCTTCTAAGGATCTCAAAGTAAAGCGTATCACTCCACGTCACTTGCAGCTTGCAATCCGTGGTGATGAAGAGTTGGATTCTCTTATCAAGGCTACCATAGCTGGGGGTGGTATGTATTACTACTTAAGCATTAATTCTTATTGGTCTTTTTAATATATTGTTCAGATCAATGGCACAGCATATTTGATTAGTTAACTAGAAAGCATATAAACTTTAATTTCATAAGTGTTAAATCTATAACAGTTCTAGGCTTCTTTTCGTAATGATCTGAATAAATATTTCTCCTTATAGCCATATGTAATGCTATTTTTATTTTAGCCAGTTCTTTGTCTAAATTTCATATGATACTTAAAACCTGATGTTTAACATATTTCCCATACCTTTTTAACTGTGTTTGAAAAATGACTTGGAGAAATTGTGTAACATATACTGGAAAGGGTTGAAATAAATACACTTGAAAAGTGGGTCAGGATCAGTGAAAGAGAGAGGTAAGTTGGTGGTTTTTAATCTTCTTTGGATAAACTTCAAACAACCTCATGAAAGCTGTAGTTACAGCTGGGTATGGTGGCTCACATCTGTAATCTCAGCACTTTGGGAGGCGGAGAAGAGGGCGGATCACTTGAGGTAAGGAGTTCAACACCAGCCTGGCCAATGTGGTGAAACCCCGTCTCTACTAAAAATACAAAAATTAGCCGGGCATAGTGGCACACACCTGTAATCTCAGCTGTTCAGGAGGCTGAGGCACAAGAATCATTTGAACCCAGGAGACAGAGGTTGTAGTGAGCCAGGATTGTACCACCGCACCCCAGCATAGGCAACAGAGCAAGACTTTGTCTCAAAAAAAAAAAAAAAAAAAAAAAAAAAGTTTTTTATAAAAAAAAAAAAAAAAAAAAAAAAAAGCTGTAGTTACTCTTCTTGAAAAATGCACAGAAAGTCACATAATTTTACCTACAGTTTTAAAGGGTTCACAGTCCCCTGGGGGGTAGCCATTTGTATAGTTTAACAGTATCAGAATATGAAAAGGGGCTTAAGTAAATTTCATTTTTTGTATAATTACACTTTTTACTTGAGGGAAAAACTAAAAATTTTTAATAACTTTTTTAAATTTCATTCTAGGTGTGATCCCTCACATCCACAAATCTCTGATTGGAAAGAAGGGACAGCAGAAAACTGCTTAGAGGGTTGCTTTAACCAACCCTCTTCCTCCCCGTCATTGTACTGTAACTGGGACAGAAGAAATAATATGTGGAATTTTTAACAACAGTTAAATGGAAAAGCATAGACAATTACTGTAGACATGATAAAAGAAACATTTGTATGTTCTTAGACTCGAAGTTTGATAAAAGTACCTTTTCATGTGGTGACAGTGTGTGTGTTGATTGGCTAGGTTTCTCCCATGTTTTATACAAAAATGGAATTGATAAACCATTTTTTACAAAATTAATTTGTCTCAAAACTGTTCTGTTCATGTATTGGAAATATTTTGCTCAGACTTTATTTTAAATATCAGATTGGTTATTCGAGTAATCTTAGAACAGAAATTGGGAATATGGCTTTCCAATGATTGATACCATGGTATATTGATTCTTAGATGCTGTTGATCTGCAGCACCAGTTTTTACAAACCGCTAAGTAAAAAACTTGCTGATTAAGTCATGATATGCCACCAATTATGAGACATCCCAATTTGAGAGATGTTAGAGTATGGAAAAGTGTACATTTATGACTGAAATTGTAGTGGAATTATTTGAATTCTATACCAAGCACTCACCATGTGCCAGGCCCTTTGCTGAGCGCTCTACTGACCAATAAATTTTATTCCCCCCGACATTATAGATGTGAAGCCTAAGGCTCATAGAAATTGTATGACATGCCAAAAAACATTCAGCTAGTAGATAAAAAGTAACAGGGCTAGGATTCAAACCTAGATCTCGCTGACTCCAGAACCTACAGTTTTACCTGGAATTAATGTTCAGTTTATCAAAGCTTTCTCCTTTTGGTTTAAAATCCCAATTTTTGGCTGAGCGCAGTGGCTCATGCCTGTATAATCCCAGCACTTTGGGAGACCAAGGTGGGTGGATCACTTGAGGTCAGGAGTTGGAGATCAGCCTGACCAACACGGTAAAACCTCGTCTCTACTAAAAATACAAAAATTAGCCAGGCGTGGTGGTACAAGCATGTAGTCCCAGCTACTTGGGGTGCAGAGGCACAAGAATCACTTGAACCCAGGAGATGGAGGTTGCAGTAAGCCAAGATCATGTCATTACACTCCAGCCTGGGTGACAGAGTGATACTTTCTCAAAAAAAATAAAATTCCAACTTTTAGTGGTCGTTTAGTGACGATAACATTCAGCAACTTGTACAATCTTTTAAAAATTATTTTTCTTTGTCAGTTTCTAAGAAACTGTTTTTGTTTTGAGACAGGGTCTTGCTCTGTTGCCCAGGCTTGAGTGCAGTGGCGTGATCGTGGCTGACTGTACCCTCCACCTCTCAGACCCAAGCAATCCTTTCACCTCAGCCCTGCAAGTAGCTGGGACCACAGGCACACACCATGATGCCTGGCTAATTTTTTTTATTTATGTAGAAACGGGTCTCCTTATGTTGCCCAGGTTGGTATTGAACTCCTGGCTCAAGCCATCCTGCCACCTTGGCCTCCCAAAGTACTGGGATTTCAGGTGTGAGCCACTATGCCCTACCCTAAGTACTGTTACTTGAGTTAATGTACGAGTTAATGCGCCCTTAGAAAATTGTATCTTTCTGCTTGCAAGTCTTCATTAAAGAAGGAAATTTTTAAATATTTTTTTTTTTTTTTTTTTTTTGACAGAGTTTCACTCTTGTTACCCAGGCTGGAGTGCAATGGCGCGATCTCGGCTCACCGCAACCTCCGCCTCCTGGGTTCAGGCAATTCTCCTGCCTCAGCCTCCTGAGTAGCTGGGATTACAGGCACGCACCACCATGCCCAGCTAATTTTTTGTATTTTTAGTAGAGACGGGGTTTCACCATGTTGACCAGGATGGTCTCGATCTCTTGACCTTGTGATCCACCCGCCTCGGCCTCCCAAAGTGCTGGGATTACAGGCTTGAGCCACCGCGCCCGGCCAATTTTTAAATATTTTATAATGCTGTCCAAACTCATTTTTAAAAACATTTTATTATGGAAATTTTCACAAATGCACAAAAAGAATAGCAGAATAGGCCGGGCACAGTGGCTTGCGCCTATAATCCCAGCACTTTGGGAGGCCGAGGCAGGTGGATCATGAGGCCAAGAGATCAAGACCATCCTGGTCAACGTGGTGAAACCCTGTATCTACTAAAAATAAAAAAAAAAATTAGCTGGGCATGGTGGCACGTGCCCGTAGTCCCAGCTACTCGGGAGGCTGAGGCAGGAGAATTGCTTGAACCCAGGAGGCGGAGGTTGCGGTGAGCCAAGATCGTGCCACTACACTGCAGCCTGGGTAACAAGAGTGGAACTCCGTCAAAAAAAAAAGAATAGCAGAATGAAGTCCTGTCCCATCCCCCAACTTCAGCAGCTATCCAATGGTCAGTTGTTTACCTGCATCCCCACCTCTCCCCTGCCCCCCAACCCACAGGGATCAGTTTAAGTCCTATTACAGGCATAGTATTTTCATGTCTATGTGATCAGAGACATATACAAATATAAATCTAAAGATAGGGCACGTTTTAGAACATAACCACAATAGCATTATGTAAGTCTGCTAGAACTTTTTTTTGATGCCAAGTTACCAGTCAATATTCATGCTTCTGATTGTCTCATAAGTTTTTTTATAGTTGGTTTGTTTGAATTAAGATTCAGACAAGATCTATCTAGATCTTGTATTTTGTTATTATAATCTATAGTTTTAACTTTCTTTTTCTTGCAATTTAATTTTTGAAGAAACAAGTTGTTTGTCCTATAGAATTGTCCCTCTGGATTTTACTGAATGCATCCTAATGGGATCATTTATACTTTTTCTGTCCCCTATATGTTCTATAAACTAGCCGGTGGAGAAGGGCTTTTGTTGGTCTGTTTTGCATTTTCACAAAAATAATTCATAGGTGATATCTGCTCCCTGTTGTATCACATCACAGCACATAACATCTCTCATCATGTAACATGAAGATTGATAGTGGGTTTGGATGCAGCCAGCCCACTCCATTTATTATAAAAATTCTCTGTCAGCTTTTCCCCTGATGAATTTAGCCACCATTAATGATATTTGCCCAGATCTGGGATTCCATTAGGTGTCGCCAGTTGGTGATATCTTGTAATTCCTTCTGCATCTATTAGCGAGAATCCTATAAAGAACTTTTGCTCATTAATTCACAAGGCAGGATAAAATAGAAATTTCAAATTTCAGTTGAATTATCTAGGTACCCATTTTGAAGTTTCTGTATTGAGAGTCAGGCCTACAGTAAAAGCAATAGAAAGCTGATTTTTTAAGTTGGGGGTGCACAAAATAGAACTTCCTTTGGCTTAATCACTTGTTTCAGGGCAATTTTTACTAGAGTTTTATACATTAATGCTTCAAATGTTTAATTCATCTTGGTAGTATAGTTACTTGACTACATAATTTCTTCCCAGGGTTATATTTTTGTTTTGTTTTCTAACAACGCAGAAATAGAACAACTAGGCCATGTACTCTGGGCCCAGCTCTCGCAGTTACGATCAATCTTGCTTCATTTGTACCGAACCCCATGGGTTATTTTAAAGCATGTTCCGGCTATCATATCCCTTCATGTATAATACCTTAATAC